TGGCCATGGTGGGATTTGAAACCATTTTCCCAGGTCATTAGCCTCAGTCTCTGGATTATGAGTCCAGTCTCATTGCCACTTTATCTTTATTCACTCATGGGATGTGAGTGGCACAGGCAGTAACAGCATTTATTGTCCTGAGTTGCCCTTGAGACTGTGGGGGTGAGCTGCCTTCTTGAATCACTGCAGTCTATGCGCTGTAGGTTGACCCACAATGCCATTCGTGAGGGAATTCCAGGATTTTGACCCAGTGACAGTGAAGAACAGTGATATATTTCCAACTCAGGATGATCAGTGGGTGGGAGAGGAACTTGCAGGTGGTTGTATCTGCCGGTATCTGGTTCCCATGTTTGTGTTGCCCTGGTCCTTCTAGACAGAAGTGGTCACGGGTGTGAAAGACACTGCCTAAGGCAGCATAGGTGAATTTCTGCAGTGCATCTTGTAGATAGGACACACTGCTGCTACTGAGCATCGATGGTGGAGGGAGTGGATGCTTGTGGATGAGGCATCAATCATGTGGGCTTCTTTGTCCTGGATGGCTTCTTGAGTGATGTTAGAGCTGCACTCACCCAGACAAGAGGGGAGTATTCCATCACACTCCTCACTTGCGCCTTGTAGATGGTGAATAGGTTTCAGGCATTCAGGAGCTGAGTTACTCACTGCAGGATTCTTAGCCTCTGATCTACTTCTGTAGCGACCGTATTTATATAGCAGGTCCGGTTCAGTTTCTCCTCAATGGTCAGCCCCCAGGACATTGATTCAGGCCACTATCTTTAAAATACTGTGAGATGTGGTCTCAATACATCAAAGTACAGTCTCCAGAAAATGCTGAGGACTGAACTCGAATTCCTGAGCCTGAAGTTTGTAGGAAATTGAGCATTGTAATTTCCCTTTAAGAAATCCATTTACATTCATTTCAACGTCAGGGAGGAATTGAAGGGTGAAGGGAGTGGATATCTGTGTGTAATGATATGTGAATTACTGAAAGCCACAGCGAGATAATGTGAGATAGCAGGAACTGCAGATGCTGGAGAATCCGAGACAAAAAGGTGCAGGGCTGGTTGAACACCACAGGCCAAGCAGCATCATAGGAGCAGAAAGGCTGACGTTTCGGGCCTAGACCCTTCATCAGAAAAGGGGGAGGGGAAGGGGGTTCTGAAATAAATAGGGAGAGAGTGGGAGGTGGATAGAAGATGGATAGAGGAGAGGATAGGTGGAGAGGAAACAAACAGGTCGAAGAGGTGGGGATGGGGCCAGGAAAAGTGAGTGTAGGTGGGGAGTTAGGGAGGGGATAGGTCAGTCCAGGGAGGACGGACAGGTCAAGGGAGCGGGATGAGGTTAGTAGGTAGGAGATGGGGGTGCGGCTTGAGGTGGGAGGAGGGGATAGGTGGGAGGAAGAACAGGTTAGGGAGGTGGGGACGAGCTGGACTGGTTTTGGGATGCGGTAGGGGGAGGGGAGATTTTGAAGCTTGCGAAATCCACATTGATACCATTGGGCTGCAGGGTTCCCAAGCGGAATGTGAGTTGCTGTTCCTGCAACCTTCGGGTGGCATCGTTGTGGCACTGCAGGAGGCCCAGGATGGACATGTCGTCTGAGGAATGGGAGGGGGAGTTGAAATGGTTCGCGACTGGGAGGTGCAGTTGTTTATTGCGAACCGAGCATAGGTGTTCTGCAAAGCGGTCTCCGAGCCTCCGCTTGGTTTCCCCGGCACCGCCTCATGCTCCCACGAGGAGCTCAAACAGTTCATCCACTTCACCAACACCTTCCACCCCAACCTTAAGTTTACCTGGACCATCTCTAATACCTCTCTCCCCTTCCTGAACCTCTCTGTCTCCATCTCGGGAACCACCTAGAAACCGATATTCATTTCAAGCCCACCGACTCCCACAGCTACCTAGAATACTCCTCCTCCCACCCACCTTCCTGCAAAAATGCTGTCCCCTATTCCCAATTGCTTCGCCTCCGCCGCATCTGCTCCCAGGATGAGGCATTCCACTCCCGTACATCTCAGTTGTCCTCGTTTTTCAAGGACCGTAACTTCCCCCCCTCAGTGGTCAAGAACACCCTCAACCGTATCTCCCACATCTCCCGCAACTCATCCCTCACACCCCATCCACGCAATAAGAACCAAAAAAGAATCCCCCTCGTCCTCACGTACCACCCCACCAATCTCCTGATCCAACGCATCATCCTCTGACACTTCTGCCATCTGCAATCCGACCCCACCACCAAAGACATCTTTCCCTCCCCACCCTTATCTGCTGTCCGGAGGGACCACTCTCTCTGTGACTCCCTTGTCCGCTCCACACTCCCCTCCAGCCCCACCACACCTGGCACTTTTCCCTGCAACTGCAGGAAGTGCTACACCTGCTCCTACACCTCCCCTCTCACCCCCATCCCAGGCCCCAAGAAGACTTTCCACATCAAGCAGATGTTCACCTGCACATCTGCCAATGTGGTATACTGCATCCGCTGTACCCGGTGTGGCTTCCTCTACATCGGGGAAACCAAGCGGAGGCTCGGGGACCGCTTTGCAGAACACCTGCGCTCGGTTCGCAATAAACAACTGCACCTCCCAGTCGCGAACCATTTCAACTCCCCCTCCCATTCCTCAGACGACATGTCCATCCTGGGCCTCCTGCAGTGCCACAACGATGCCACCCGAAGGTTGCAGGAACAGCAACTCACATTCCGCTTGGGAACCCTGCAGCCCAATGGTATCAATGTGGATTTCGCAAGCTTCAAAATCTCCCCTCCCCCTACCGCATCCCAAAACCAGTCCAGTTCGTCCCCGCCTCCCTAACCTGTTCTTCCTCCCACCTATCCCCT